TTACTTGTGATGAGGTATGATTGGAAATGATTGGTACTCTAAAGAATGCAGTTACGTTTTCCCTCAAAAAAAAAAAAAAAAAAAAAAAAAAAAAAAAGCTACGGTTTTTAAATAAATGTGTCTGCAAGTTTCGTTGCACATTTAAAGTTATTCGCATTCTCAAATTTCTTTACATACAACTATTAATTATTGTTTTATTTTTATTTCGTAAGGGTTTTAGTCTGTTTCGTAAATACCAGTTTATAGCCTAAAATTTCACTAAGATAGCTCAAACATTTAAATTTTCATTCGATCAATATCGAGGACCGATGTTATAGAAAATTACATGCAATATAACTTGTAGGGATTTATATTTATTTTAACTAACAAGTTAAAGTTTAAATTTAAACTTTCTTGTAAGCCTTCATTCCCCTAATTAGCAATGCCAGAATATTTGAATTTAGTAGCGCGCGTGAAGGAATACAGATTCTACATGAAGTAGAAAAAGTTTAAATACCGGGTTCTAGAAGGAAAGTTAGAGAGAGGCTATTGCCGTCAGCTCTGTAGCGTGAGCTTCTACTCCCTGTGTTATTGCTAGTGGCATAAATGCATTCACTTTGCTTCTAATAGTTTCGTCTAGGGTTAAGAAACAGGAATATCTAAGCCCTGTAGCTTAGTTCTATTACTTGTGAACACCTTCGAATTTTTAGTTTAATTCTGTGATTTTAGTTACCGCCCAAGGGAGGCGTAGTGTGTTAGCGTCGAGTTGACGTATTGTAAATTTTAAAGAGTTTAATAAAGGGTACTTTTAATTTTTCTCATGTCCTACAAGAACTTGCTACACATACTGTTGTCACTTAGAAGATAAGCAAGTGAACCCTACAAAGTTACAAACTCAATTTGTTTCCGTTCACTGCTTATGTACACCATGATTGAGTTTTTGCAGATCTCGCAGCAAACAGTGAAAGACTTTTCTATGATACTTTTCAGCACATATGTCACATTCGTTTTAACTGATTGTGCAACACCGTCATGTCACTTTCGATTCCACGGTAATTTCAAACGACCAAAAAGAAATCTCATGACGGGAGGCAAGGCAAATATGAGAAGTTGAGAAAAATGATATACGCTAGCTGGCTGGATATTACTTTACCGATATCATTACACAGAAGTTCCCCACCAGTGAGTGAATGATTTGAGTACTGGTAGTTCGGCGCGGATTCGAACACAAGCTAACAGGTTGCTTCAAGGAGCGTGTTTTGTGGCTTTCCCTACGTGTAATGAAAATACTAGCCAGATTTCTTGAGAATGTCCACCAGTAAGGCATCTCTTTTTTCAGGTAGACAGCCCTTGTGTGTCACAGCTAACAAATAATCTAATTAAACTTCACTGCTGAAGTGCCAGTGTTTAAGTCTTCAGCCTCACTTTGCCTAAAGTAGACCTTTTCAAACTTTCCTACTTGGCGATATTTTACTTGAGCGACCATTTTCGTCCCCTTGGTGCAGAGATATAGAAACTAGGATTACAAAGTTAAATAATTATGTTAATTAATAAATTATGATATGATTTATTAAGAAAAATTTCATTTGGAAAAAATGTTTTGGTACATATAAAATATAATTTACTATACGTTAATGGCAAAACTTACGTACTAATCAGTTTATACTAAAGTTCATAGTAATCAGTTGGGATTACGTACATTTATTTAAAGACTTAAATATTGAATAAATATTATATATTAAAAGATGCAGAACTTCTTCAAAATTTTGCAGAGAGTTGACGGATTTTCTTGGTCTTATGCTAAAATTGTTGTTTCGCATAAAGAAGTAGTACAAAATGCTCAGAGTATGTTTAGGATCGTTTCAGAAAGCTCCAGAAATCCTGTCTTAATCTTTAGCTCTAATTCATATAACGATATTTTGGGAATTTTTAATTTTAATTTTTAACCTTCAAACTTGACACGCTCTTCTTTAGCGTTTAATATTAAATGATTGACATCAGTCATTGCCTTTGGTTTGAGTTCATGAACCCAATTTTCTTTCAAATCATCAAAACTTTGAAGAAAATAATTTTTTTAAAAATGTATCTACAGAACTTCAAATGATTAGTTTAAATTCTAGAATTAAACCTTTGGAAAAGGTATTTTCAGTTACAAAAGCATCTATAGCTGTAAATATTTCTATAGATCTATCTTTCTCTCCTTTCAAGATTTTCAAATGTTCACATTTTAAACAAAACTTTGTTTTATACTAACTATATATTATGCTACTACTAAACTATTATTATTATTATAAACTATAGCTTATTATTATATATTATGCAGTTATATATTTGAACTCTCAACAAATATCGTATTTTCTGATCAGTTACAAACATAACATCATTTTCAATTGTCATTGCGTGAGAAATGATGTTTTCATTAAGCTTCTGTTTCCCTGAGTCTTCTCGCAAAATAATTTGACAGACATTCTCAACCAAGCACATTTATCCTTATCCCATATTTTCAGTGATATGTATTTCTGAAAATTTGCCTGAATGTTAAACTCCCCTTTAAACTCTGCTCTCCCAAAAATTATTTTTTCATTCCAACTTGTGTTTCCCCGATAATGCCTGTCACCAAGGAACCCTTTATTAAGTTATACTAAAAGTTGAGATTTATGATTATATTTTATGTACTCGTTCATACAGAGGCATATACAGATTTTTATATCAAGCAGAATAGTTAAATTTGGAGAAAAACGTAACAGGTTGACTTGTAGTAGAGATTTGGTTGTTCTCGCCTCAATCTGCTTGCCTAAGAGAACAGGCTCTTCAGAATAAACGTCGACGCCTGACTTTCGGTAGGGTTTCCAGTAAGAGCTTAACAGACTTTGTGCTGTCCGATCCAGATAGTATGTAATTTTGCTTAAAATCACTGATAGTTAAGTTATTTATTTTACTGTAAAGTTCCATCCAATAGCTGTCGTCATAGAGGTTTGCAGTTTTGCGTTATATTATTTTTTAAATTCACGTTACCAATAATAGATATATATAAAGAAGAAAGTCTGTTTGTTTTTCAGTTAATAATTCAGTTACTACTATAGCTATCGTCACCAAACTTTCTACAATCCTTTTTTGGGTCCTAGAAAAGGTCGGCGTTCAATTGTTCCCCCAAAAAATAGCTAAAATCAAAGATATTAATTAAAAACTCGGGAAAACTATAATTTCCGCCCTCATTTTCCCGAGTGGCAACAGTTTCGCAAGCTGGAGATGAAAATCTGCTTTATTTCGAGAACTGTTGCCACTGCTGGCTTTCAAATCATAGATTTTGTTAATAAAAAATTTCTAAGATGAAATAAAAATAGCATTTCCAATCATTAAATACATTAGTCCCGATTCCAAAAATTCGTGGGAAGCCATTTCGACTATTCCCATCTTCGTACGACTTTAATCAGTCGAAACATTAATTAAAAACTCTAAAAGCGCTAATTTTCGCACTCATTTTTCCGAATGGCAACAGTCTTGCGCGTTGGAGATAACAATGCTTTATTTCGAAAAGTGTTGCTACTACTCGCTTTCAAAGTTAGTTAATAAAAAATTTGTAAGTTTTACAAAATCTATACATGTAAAGAAGAATGTTTGTTCGCGTTATTGATTTCCGATCGATTATGATAATTTTTTTGCCACATTTAATCGACTAAATTGAATATAGGTGAAATATTGGATTTAACTTGAGCCTTTGCGACCATTTGAAAAGAAAGACGAAAATCATTAAAAACTGCTTGACATTGTTGCTGATATAATGAGAGAAAAGAATTATTTTATCTTTCTATCGAAATTTGTTATGTGGGTTCCATATCGCATCAGACTGAAAAATGTAGGACTATGAATAGTATTTTTTGCATCGTTATTAAAGAAGGATTACAGCGGTATCGTTCTCTCTATTGCTAGATGCATTACTCTCAATCTAACGTAACTGGCATCTAGTACTTCCGCTAGTGAAATAATAAAGCTAACCTTTTATTTCCTTTTACCTCTTGTTTCCATAAACAGTTATGACAACAGCGATGACTCTTTCACACAGTAGAAGTAGAAGTAACGTTTGAGAGTAACTGGCTGATAGAGGAAAGGAATTAGGTTGCAGATCACCAATCAATCGTTGTAACCAGAAAATTGTTATAAGATCCATATTTTTGTGTGTGGATTCCGTATGGAATTAGTGACTTTTCATCCAAATTCATAACCAGCACGTCACTTGTTCAGATCCAATTAATTACATTCGGCAAACAGTATATTGCTAGACATAGCGTTGATAAGTGGAACCACTTGCAACACTAATGAACATTAACGATACAAATGAAAGTATTAAATAACACTAGCTCGCATGTTTCAGATTCACAGTTTTGGATTTAAGCATGAGCCGTATGATGTTTTTGAGAAAAGAAATACCTTGACATGAGCAAAATTTGGAAATGCATTTCCTAGAAAAAGCATTTGTTTAATGATTTACAATGTGTTAATTTCGAAAAACTCGGGAAGAGTATTTCTAAACGAATTACAGCATTTTGCCCCAATTTTATTTGCTAGCATTTTATTAAAATTCCGAAAACTAGGTGTTCAGACAAAGTATGCCGGAATAACTTTAATGATTAATCATTAAAAATGATTTTAATAAAACTAACCGCAGTAAAGAGTGAGCTTCACGGAAATACCACATATATATTTCTGAGAGAAAGATTACAAATTAACTGCAACTGAAGGACTGAAAAACTTTAAGCAGGTATGCTTACAATTACAAGAAAGTGTTTCATTTGTAATACAAACTTGTAAGCTTGATATTAAATGCTCAAATTCAAATTTCAGGAAATTTATTTGCATAAATTTCTCTGAAACAATCATCTTAAAAGTTTGCTAGTTTGGTAATTTCCAACACCGATAGAGATTTCGTCCTATATTATTATCAGGGGCTGGAATGAAAATGTTTCTATTTTTTCAAAGTCGAAAATATTGTGTTAATAAATGTATGCAGTGAAATTACCAAAATGTATCTGATGAGCTTTACTTGCATTTTAGCTGTCGAAATCCTGTCCAGTTTGAATCAAAGCGTAGAACCTTGTGAAGACTTCTACCAGTTTGCCTGTGGTGGTTGGCTGAACAGACATGAAGTTTCTGATATGAAGCATAAAACCTGTATCTCTGATGAAATTGAAAAGGATATCGACGTTAAACTCCGAGGTTAGTTGCTATTTTAAGATTCGGACTGATAGTAAGTAATCTGATAGTAGATGTACTCCATCACCATGAGACTGATCATTAGAATTAATTAAAAATTTAGAGCAATTTCTTTGTTAAGATAAAATAAGTTTTACTTTAGAAATAATACACGCTTGATGATAGCCATCTTTTAAACAGGAAAATAAAATATCAGTAATGGTATATATATATGTATGGGTATAATAGGGATTGCATATCTTCAGAACCAAAGAATTTTCAGAACATTTCTTCTTATCCCACTTAGACACGCTCAGTGCTTAAGTCCACATTTGACTGAACCGTTTTAAGAGCACGAAAAACTGATAATTCAAACCGATTTCAAGTCTTTGCAAAAGGGCTTTCTGCATGGGCGTTCGACACGTTTCATCACGCGTAACCTAAATATGAACCAGAACTCTTTAGCCAGGTCTTCTTCGTAGAAGGTATCCTTTCCATAAGGCACATAAGCTTGGTGTGCTTTGTTGCAAAACAATAAACCCAAATCAATTAACCCTGCGCTTAATAAAAATGTGTTGAAAGACGTGTGTCACTGCTGGTAACTTGTCGAAAACTCCACACAGATACTATACATTTACAAACAGCCATGCCTTTTTCCCGGGTCTGAACCTCGACATATGATTACGAAGTCAGCATCACTAAACACTGTACTGGCAAGGCGGGAACGTGGACGAACAGCCGAAACTTACTCCAAAGAATTTTGAGAGGTATTTTACTCTCTGCACATCATACGAATTTATGATAGAATTGAAACGCACGTCCAGAGATCGAGCCCCGGCGGTGGCATTGCACATTTTTAACATTTTCCTTACTAAAAAAGTTACAAAAGTTATAAAATGGAGCCCGAAATGCAACTGGGGCCATTAATTTGTCACTACCAGTATTTAGGGATTGGATGCCTGCCTCTATAGTGGTCTTTTAAGTGGGTGATAGTTTAAGGTATTTTTTTTCTCCTTACAGCGCGACTTTGTTTTGTAACTAGAAAGAAAGAAAGAAAGTCCGGTTAGCAATCGGAAGGTCCGGAGGAGTTCGAGTCTTCGCGAGGGCGCAGCATGATATCTCCTTGTCTTAAAAATTTCTTAACTCTATAAATGGCAAAGGAACTATAAAGGCGGTAGACGATAATTATTCCCAGTCTTTTTAAGTTAGTATGAAAGTAAGGTTTTACTTTCTCTTTACTGTGGGCCTTCTGCTGTAACTGGAAAGTAAGTCAAGCTAACAATCGGTGGGTCTGGAGTGAAAGTCCGGGTATCAGATTGCACAATTTTCACGTCTTCCGCTCAGAAATCTTAAACTAAAACCTAAAAACTTTAGAATATTACCAATGCATAACTAGATAATTTAATTTAGGTTTTTAGGACACGACTGATCACATTTTACATTATGAGAAATCTCAATGCCGATACTAGTTAAAATTTTTATTGAGTTTACAGAAGCTACATATTCAAATTTTAATTAAAATTCAAGCAACATGGAAAAGTCTAGTTCTATCATTTAAGCAATTAAATACTCCTATCGTATATAATACGATAGGAGTATTTAATTGCTTAAATGATTAACCCCTTTTAAATGGTTTACTTAAATATTAGGCAACAGCTAACTTGTACTATCGGGCAGTATGTAAACCGATGACATGATTTATGCATAAGTTAGCAAACTACTCGTTGCACAAATATTTGAATTAAAAAACAGTCGCCCATCTTACAAACGTTATTGAATTGTTTTTCATATGTTGTGACAAAATAGTTTAACTTTTATTTATTTACCTGAATTGTTTGGCATTTTTGTTAACAGTTGATTAACTTCATAGATAAATATATGGATAAACGGGAACTGATCCTTTTTACTTCCGTATAATGAAATACTGGTTCCGAATACAATTTATGATGAATAAGCACTTTTGTTTTTATTTCTAGATCTGGTATAATGAAATACTGGTTACGAATACAATTTCTGATCCATAAGTACTTTTTTTTATTTCTAGATCTGGTATAATGAAATACTGTTTACGAATACAATTTCTGATCCATAAGTACTTTTGTTTATATTTATAGATCTGGTATAATGAAATACTGGTTACGAATACAATTTCTGATGAATAAGTACTTTTGCTTTTATTTCTAGATCTGGTATAATGAAATACTGGTTACGAATACAATTTCTGATGAATAAGTACTTTTGTTTTTATTTCTAGATCTTCTAGAAAATACAATGACAGAAAATGAATCTAAATATATTTCCGATTTAAAATCATCCTATGAAAAGTGTAAGGAAAAAGGTAAGACTTATTCCAAATTATGCATCTTTCTGTCGTTATACCTAAAACATAATAGAAATGTTCAAAATAGCTTTATCAGCGTAGCGTTTCAATAAGTACGGACTTTTCAGTTATCCCTAATGAAACATATAATGACCCGTCAGATGTGAAAAATTAGAACCTGATTAAAATGTATAATTAAAACTTCCGATGCATCAAAATAGATCTTTCAATAGATGTACTACAAATCTATGGGTTTAATCTCTGTAATTAGAGAAGATAGAATCTCTGTATGAGTTTGTTGGATAGAAACGAATAGATACAGAGCTACGAAAGATGGAACATATGTTAATGATAAAAGTGCTCACATAGATGCAATTTTCAAAATTCGATTTCAGGATTTTTTAGTTTAACGTTGAAATAAATGTTATCGATTTTTACATAAGCCTTTACTTAACGAAAAATTTAAATCTCAAAATTTTGCTACTTGCGTAATCAGATAGCTTACAGGAAGTAATTTTCGAAGCTTCGAGATCATTTGAATAAGATATTCTATTGAAGAGTTATCGACGCCACTCATAATTTCCGGTTTCTTCAGTTTTTCCAGCCTAAGCTATGTCAAAAAATATTCTAATTTATTCATGTGCGGCTCGAACGAAGAAAAGACCAAAATCTGTTTCCCACAAAAAGAATTATAATGGAATTCCGTTTCCCAAAACAATACCTCTCCACGTCATCTACATTATGGTACCACAGACTTTAAACAATGAGTTATTCTAAATTAATGAGTTATTTTTCAAATAGAGAGCAATTGAACGAATGCCTGTTCCTATATTTCAGGTCACGTAACGTTTTAGAATGTTAACTGTCAACTAAATTTAATGAAGTTGCATCAAACATTAACACTAGTGTTGTTGTTGTGACTAATCTCGCTTGTTTGATATCAGAACCAGCCCACGAATTTCATCTTGGCAAGAAGGCAAGATTGCGCTTGTCGTTGGTGAGAGCCTTGGGCACTATACAGGACGTAGTATGCCTTTGCTCTATTTCCGCCCTCACCTTTGAAGAAGAGCACCCCGAGGGGATGATCCAGGGGCCTCTTACCCCTCTTTCTCTATTACCAATCTCTCAGGACATTTTGATTATATTCTTACTGCACAGATACGATATGCATACAAACATCCAAGTCTGCTTCGAAATTCGAAACCGGGCCCTTTGGTACGAGTCACTAATCCACGATCAATCCGAGTCACTAATCCACGATCTCGGCTGGGCGGCAAAACATTAATATTTCTAACCTAAGTCCAGATTCGCTAAATATCATCTAATTCTTTTTAAAATACAGTGTCACGTATTGGACATCACTGTTTTAAGACACTTCTTCGTCTGCATTCCAAATCATTTTAAACAGAGAAGGCTAAAATGTATTTAAAATGCATTTCAGAAAGCAAATGCTAAAAAACTTGACAACGGGATTTTTTTTCTCCCCCATAGGAGGCCCGACATGGGTAAAACAAGCGGAGAAGATTAATTCTTCGGAAAAGACTCATCAGGAAAATTGGCAAAGCGTCTCTGACATTCTGAAGACTCTTGGTGGGTGGCCAGTATTGGAGGGAGAAAAGTGGAATTCGTCTTCATTCGACTGGCTTCAGACTCTTGTTGAGCTCCGCAAGATGGGCTTGAATCACGATATCTTTATTCAATTATATGCTAAGAATGATGCCAGTAATAACACTGTGCATGTGATAAAGGTATGTACTCGTCAACACATGAACTGTATTTTGTAATTGCTTTTTTTGATAACCGAAAAAGTATGTAACTTTCGGGTCTTAGCAACTGCTCGTAATATCCATTACTCAACAAAATGCTAAGAAAAGGAATCACTGTAAAGCACTACACGTATCATAAAATTTTTAATTATTTAGGTATTATATAGAAGAATTTAATACACGTAAATTGTGGTTGGCATTTAACCTTCTAAGCGGCAAGGCCGTATATATACGGCCTAGAATATGTTTTGTGATATCTGTAAGAACGTATATATACGTGCATATTAAAATATGTCAAAGAAATTAAGGCAATATATCGAAAGAAAACAAATCCAGGTATGAAATACCAGGAGAGTTTTTTACATTAAAATCAAAAAAATATTTTGTTCTCGTAGTGGTTTTGGGAAATTTGTGCTTTCTTAGCAGAAACCCTGGCTGCTCAGAGGGTTTTTAATTAATTTTTTGGTATATTAACTTTTATTCAAATGAAATGAACGCAAAGAAATGCAATGAAATAAACACGTTCAAGTATAAATGCGTTTAATGATTTTAACATTAAACGTATCTAATCTATTAAACACAAATATTTACTTAAAATTACAGCAAGGTGATTGTGTGTTATTAATCCGTTGTTCCTACTACATTATGAGTTAAAAAAATTGTCATTGCAAGTGCAAACGTTATTAAATTTTTTTAAGAAAAGTATGAGTGGAGAAGTTTATTATTTGATCATTTTACATTTTTTCTCAAAATTTCCTAAAATAAAATTTCATACATGGCTTCTAAATCTTAGCAAAGAAAGGGAATGAGGGTCCTGAATGATCTTCGAAAAGATCACATTGTCGGTGCCTGTCTCATTGGTGCACCTTCTGCCTCAGCTGTAAAATCATAGGAGATGTGAAGAAGTAATGGATTCTAAACTTCGACAGCATTCAATATTCACAGCAAAACATCGTCTGCGAGGCACAGACATTTATGGTAGGCAAGCAAAACTTACTGACTTCAGGTTGAAAAGGTCATATTAAAGTAGACTAAGTCTCAAAAAAGAAAACTATTGCCAAAATAGGGAACATTGAGTTTAATATGCGTCTACAGATGAATTCAGCTTAATATTTATGGGACAGTTTCTTCTTCAGAAACCCTTTGTTTTACAGATAAATGTAAAATAGAGACCACAGTGTAAACAGTGAAGCTTGATGAAACTAATATTTTATCTTTATATAAGACATTGATTCCACACTAGAAATAATTCATTTTGTTAACTCAGAATGACCATAATGATACACAGAAACTAGCTGAGGTCTGCATAGGTAGAAAGAATAAAAGCATAATGACTTGATCCTACTGTTCTTTAAAGTTTCATTCTCCATAAACCTGACACTACATGCTTGTTTTGCTTCTGGTTATGTTGCCTAAACAATTTAAGAATCTAGCCATTTCTGCCTGCAGTTCACGCATTTCAATCGAATCACAGTTTTCGGTGAATCAAATAAAAGCTTTTCATATGTATCGTAGATATGTACAAAGAAAGAATTCATTAAGTGCTAAGAAATTTATGATCCAATACTCATATTTTTATCCTCACCGGTTAAATAAATAGGCCTTATAAAGCTTAATGTACTATTGATTCAAGAGTTGATGACTTGAGAACTAACTATAAGGTGAAAATCCCCAAGAAGAAGCAGGAGCAGCTACGAAATTTGAGAAGTCCAACCACTTTATGAGCTAAAATTATTAGTATGTAAACGGATGGACATATATATCTACTATTTACCTTTTCAAGCTTCAATTTCTACGGAATATGCCTTCAAGTAAGATTCAACGTCAAGTGCCTATGGACTCAAATCTGACGCTTTGAAATTGCGTTTCCCGCAGTAGACCAGCAAAAGTATTATATTCGTACTTGCTTTAAATATTAACGTGTATGTACTACTTATTATTAGTATAAAAACGGTTAGTCGCAAATTTCTGAAGATAAATTCTCCACTATTATAAAATTAAGAACCTATTGAAGACGGACAAGTGTAATTTTAATAATTTTAATGTAGTTCTTAGTTTGATATTATTGGTTTTCTAATTCGTTCGGAGGAAGGTGCACTTTGAAGAACCAATCAAACCGACGGGTGTGGCTGCTTTGGGTGCATATCTGTTAATTAGAGATTTAAGCATTATGAGTTTGAGCTACATTTTAAGAGCTTAAAGAAAATTTTTCGATTGCAGTTTGAGTTTCAATTTCGATGCTGATATATTTTATCATATACACTCTTAAATTTATATATTAATATAATTATCATTTATATGTTAATAATTTACCAAAGTTATATAATAAAGTGGAAATGATAGCTAAAAATAAAAGTATTTATTTGAACTTTCAAAAATCATAGGGTTAAATAAAAGACGTTAGCATAAGGAAATGTAAAAATTTAATAATAAGTAGATAAATAAATATTAGATATAAACAACCACATAGGTTTAGGCAACAAAACAATTGATTTTTTGAAGTCATAAGAACGTTCTGCTCGAACCACATGCCAAATATATATATATAATTATCTATGGCGGTTTGGGGATGTGTGACAATTCTCTAAGTAGGTTTTCTTAAAGGTTCCGAAGAGGGCTGGGTAGAATACACATACTTCTCCGAAGCACATCCCGTAGATACTATATGGAATTTATGTCATTAATTATTCCATACGAATACGGAATGATTAGTGACATAAATTAATAATTTACAGCTCTAATTACTCGTTGACTACCTGACCTATGAACTGCATTGTTGTCTCTGAAATCGGCATCAGAACTCTTAAGGCATGGGTGAACATACTGAGGAAAAATGGGATAGTAACCTTTATAGAATACTGCAGTCACAATACCACGAGATAAGCTGTAGAAAAGGAAATTTCGGTCATAATCATCGAACAACTGCTTCTGTATGCGTGACTTACACGAAACTAAGATATAGGTTTTGTCCAAATCAAGGAAATTTAGGAAATTTCGGTCATAATCATCGAACAACAGCTTCTGTATGCGTGACTTACACGAAACTAAGATATAGGTTTTCTCCAAATCAAGGAAATTTAGGAAATTTCGGTCATAATCATCAAACAACAGCTTCTGTCTGCGTGACTTACACGAAACTAAGATATAGGTTTTCTCCAAATCAAGGAAATTTAGGAAATTTCGGTCATAATCATCGAACAACAGCATCTGTATGCGTGACTTACACGAAACTAAGATATAGGTTTTCTCCAAATCAAGGAAATTTAGTTAATTTCGGTCATAATCATCGAACAACAGCTTCTGTATGCGTGACTTACACGAAACTAAGATATAGGTTTTCTCCAAATCAAGGAAATTTAGGAAATTTCGGTCATAATCATCGAACAACAGCTTCTGTCTGCGTGACTTACACGAAGCTAAGATATAGGTTTTCTCCAAATCAGTAAGTTTCTTAACCAAATCGTGAGTCATCCGGAAAGGGCACAGTTGTTCGGTATATGTTGAGGGCATTTAGGCAATCAATGGTGGAGAAAATTGCTAGCTTTGAAATATTTTGGAACAAATGGCAAAATATATTTACAATTGTTTAAAAAATAAGCATACGAAACATTTAAGGATAAAAATATATTTTTCTTCTTGGTTTTATAATATGTGATGTATTGATGATATAAATCTTGAAATGTTTGATGATGAGTAACGTTAGTCACTTATTTCCAATGAACACTATCAGACTTAAATTTATATTTTTAGCCAAATCACATGGAGATGATCAATGTTGGTGTAGATAAAATCGCAGAATGCCGGTAATTTGTCTGGTTTGGTTTCTAATGAACGAAATGGCTGCATATAATTTTCATATTTTGCATTATGTGATATATGAATACGAGCCACTTTTTATTAGTACTTCTTTAACAAAAGCTAAAATCTTAAAAGCAAATAATCGTCGCACAAATTAGCCAAACCAAGCGAAACAAATAACATAATTTATTTTATTTTCAAGTTGGACCCAGTGTTGTCAGGAATATCGAATCATACGTATTTACCGTATAAGCAAAATGATTCATCGATCGATAGTTTGCTCGAATCCATGATGGAAGTAGCTCAGCAGTTGAATGGCAAAATCAATACTACAGTGGACGATTTTCGAGAAGTTGTCAGTTTTGAAACCACATTTGCCGAAGTAAGTTCTTAACTTGTTTTATTGCTTGTTTGTTTTGCTAGTCTATATTAATATTCTCTTCTGAGAATCATGTTAAGCTAATACGAAATTTAAAACAACCACTCACGTTTTTAAATACAGTAAGAACTTATTTTTTATGGGAATTTTAATTAATTTGATGTAAATTTTAAAGCTCATATGAAAATTTCTCTTTTGATTTAAATACGTAACAGTAACTTAATCTTGCAATAGTAGAATTAAGAGAACTCAACGAATCGCAGATATCTCTTTAAAATCTTTCTTTCTTCACTTTGTTTTGTCTCAATTTCTATAGAAGTTTAAAAAATATGAGTATCAGATTGAAAGGCCTGCTTCACTTTTTCGCGAGAGGATACAAAACATTGCGGATTTGTTACAGTTTATTTATGCATTTTGTTACATGACAGCATTTTATTTTTCTGCTGCTATCAGTCAAACGTATTCTGTAAAAGAGAATGAGGAAGTCTGAACACAGTGAACAACTCATATTATAAGGTTATATTTAGTCCAATACTCAAACCTTTGTACTATAACCTTAACAAATATGCAGCGAATAATCGTTATGTCTGAGATAGCGCGATAAATATCATGCCTGATATTTCTTAGGGAAACAAAAGGTGCATTTACCTTTTTTCTAACATCCAGTACAAAAGGAAGAAGGTTTAAGGCATAAATAGTACGTTTAATTTAAAAGTGGACCTGAGAGTTAAAAAGTATACAATACTGTGCATATTTGGCCTTGAGTGCGTTCTTTGTTTTCTGTAATTTTTCGATATGGTTGAGAAGTTTATAAACCTGTAAGGATGGAAAGAATTCTTCTGAAGGAGAAAACGGTCGTTACCATTTTAAATTAGTTATTTTTCACAGACGACCTATGTTGGCGTCTTAGCGAAATATCTGCATCATAAATCTCTGAACCTGTGCATTTGTTTATCGAATCATTTATGTACCCTGAAAAATCTAGTGGCTTATGTTTTATGTTAAGTTTACGAATAATCGATCCCTGTTTTATTAATAGTGATGCTAATACCTATCAAGATTTCTGTCTAACATTTCATTGCATTGTTACAGAATGAATAAATGTCTTTCTTGGTCATAGTAAGCTGGTGAGCTGGTACGAAACGTCATGCACAATATTCCACCATGAAGACGTTAAAGCAGTGTTTTGCCGGAAGGACCATACATCGAAAAGTCAGTAATAATATTAAGATGTGGCAAAATATGATCAATATACAGATCACTTTTTGAGGAGATGTGAATAACAAATTGTGCATATAAATAGCACAAATGCCTTGCAAGAGTTTCAAGTGGATCAGTTGTTCAGTCTTTGAGACTGTAAGTAAAGCTTCATAGGGTTGCTAGGAACATGATGGAATGTCTAAACGTGTGAATTATGGGATGGGGGGCGCAACACTTAACACTCCCTGAACACACTAAAATGTTCTTACACTTAACACACTGAAATTTACACTTAATAGTTACCGTTATATGTAAATTTGCAGATCACTGAGAAATTTAAATATAGATATTTCTTATAGTCGGTATTTACATTAAATAACAAATTTTTGTTCCAAATTGAAAGAAAAAGTAAATAATAAACAGAACGCTTCGTTCATATGTCTTTTGTATTATTTTACGCATACAATATAGTTTTCCAAGTAATATCTTAAGCATTTTTAAAAATGATGATTATCCTTTCTATAGCTCTCTTCTCCACAGCAAGAGACACAAGACATTAGCAATGCAAGTAAGAATTATACAGTTCAGGAGCTCATGGATGAGGTACCTCAGGTAAATTATTCTTCTAAGAACACATTCATTAAAACAAAATAATTAACCATATTCTTAGGCAACTACTAAAACTAAGCAGAGTAAATATCTGTTTCAAAATATAAATTTATGTTTACAAATGGGAATTTATATATTTTGCGCCTGTTTTAAATTGTTTTTTACAGTGGTTTGTTTGATTGTCCAGTAAAAGTGGCTTAACGATTCTTTTGCCTTTGTGTTCATATTTGTGTTTCATTATCAGCTATTATATTCAGCTATTATACCATTGGGCGGTTAGTGTCTTTGCTACAAGGAAGCATTTGAAATATTGCCTAGTTCAACGTCCTCTTGAGAGGCTAGCAGTAAATAAACAGATTTTGGATTCTCTGTTCCGACCGCCTGCTGTTCTTCATGAAAATTAGAATGGAACTTTTCTTTCTCTTGTGTTTCAGTTAGTTGGATTTCTGTGTTGTACCCCAGTGTTTTGAGGTAGTCTGGTGCTTGCTAGGTGTTCAAGCTGATTTCATCGTTTTGAGTAATGAGGCAACTAAATGACCTATCAGTCTATATTCTCAACGAGTGCTTGATTGGCAAAATGGTTAGCTGTTAGGAAAAAAGACGCGAAAAGAGCAGTTTTTAAATGTTCAATATGGCAGAGATTTTCTGAACTAAAATTCTGCATCGCGTGATTTTCATGATAGAAAGTCTTCCGCAAAAATTTCCAGGGCTATTAATCTCCAGTCACTTTCACTATTTTCCAGAATTAGTCAATCGCGGTAGATTTGAGCGTAGAAAGAGCTCATTTCAAGAGACCACACGAGAAATATCAGGTGACTTCGCAAGACTATGTTGAAAAAGATCCATGGAATACCTATATGACTTCATGTTTTCAAGGAATGCAGTTTTTAATTTCGAAGTACGACTTGTTGCTTTATATCCATGACGTTTCACACTTTGAAAGTTATTGATATAAAAAAATGGAATTTCTTCCACAAATACTGGACGTAAGAACTTTCTGTTGATAGCACGTTGAGTTGCTTTTAACATTTTTTCTCACTATCCATAATGTCGTTTCCCATCGCAAAAGAATCCTGAGACAATAATAAAGCTCTGACTGAAACGTTCTTAGCTTTGATGGAACCAGTTTTGTGCATTTTTTCCCTTCGTTTTCAATATAAAATAAACCTTTCTTTATTGCAGTTACCTAGGTAAATCCATGCCGTCATCAAGGGCTATAACGTATTTCCATTTATCTCGAACTAAGTACACTGCTGGCCGAGAAACGACATCTGAAGCATTGCATAAAAGAAAAGTTATGTAGTGGATTTTGCATTCGGAAATTCCTTTGCAAAGCTGGAGTTTGCACAGAATATCGTGTTATGCCTCAAATAAGAAGGGGAAATGCTTACCATCAAGTTTCGAAATTCGATACAGGTAGGATCGTTGCCTATCGAAGGTATAGATTATCGTTCCGTGATATCGCCGGTGGCACTGGTCGACATCCAACCACTGTCATGCGAATATGGAATCAATGGATTGCTGAGGGTCATATTGAACGGCATGCATGATCTCAACGTCCTCCCATGACTAATGCCAGAGAGAACAGCAGATATTGGAAAGTCAGCCCTGCAAAACCGTACGAACACGTCACGGATGATTAGTTAGGAAATGGGCATGTTTCCAGCACGCACAGGGTAAGGGCCGTTTTAGCTGCCTGCGTTGGCAGCTGTTTCTACTAATTTTGGACCTCTGTAAACTCCCAGGCTTCTTAAAAAGTTGATAATTTTTTCTTCATGCCACAGAGGCTAAGCACAATAAATACCATTTTTGCATTTGCTTTCCTTCATGGTGTTGCAATGGCGAGTAGTGTAGTCTCCAAAGGGGTTATACAAATTGTTCTGCATAGAGCCGCATGCTTAAGCAAAAGCTTCTGAAAATTATGTTTTCAGCTTTTTTAGGTTATAAATCTTGGTTTATTGTTTCATTTATTGTTGCTACAGATGTAGTTAAAAGAAATTCCAATTGATTTCTGCTTCAGAAGATTTTCTCTTTGTCACAAAAGATTTTTTGGAGTCTTCTTTCCGTGTGAAAGTATTTATCGACGGTTTTTTCCTTTCCAATTAGTAATCCTGCTTTGTTTGCACTTAGATTTAAACACCATGCATTTCGCAACATTTCTGACTTATTGAATAGGAATATTTCGCTTTGAAAAGCACAAAAAACAATTCTTCAATTCACAGCTTGTTTACATCTGTCATTTGGAAGCAAGAATGAATTTAAAAGTATCAGAGGATAATTCTTATTTCAAATAATAAGCTGTTTTTCAGAAATTTGTATTCCGAAACATTTGCTTTTTCTTTCGTTCTTTATCGAAATCATTCTAAAAATATGTTAACAACCTGTGCATTTTGGTATATATATGAAAATTTTCAGTTTTACTTTATTGCAGATTAACTGGATTAAGTATTTCAACGGACTGCTGAATGGCCAAATTAAAAATGAAACGTTAGTTGTTATGGATAAAAATTTCATTATCAATTTTGCCGAACTGATCACAAAGACAAACACGAGGTAAGACTAATTGCATATGAGTTTCCGCTTTCGTAACTAGTTGCTAAAATATTATTTATATATAATGAAAGAAGTAAACTACTTAATTAAAAAGAGAGAGTGAAGCTAAAAGTTAAAAGTAAATCACTGCAATCTAAAGCTGGATGATAGTCAAATTTATATTAATTTTTCATTTTCATTCTCGAAGGCAAGGAGACAAATTTTGTAATTTTATTGGGACCAATATTAAAACTAATATCTTAATTTAAATTTAATTCTATAAGACAGACGTTATTTGATCCAGTTCTGTTAAAAACTATGTAAATTGTGATAAATAAAGCCTACGACTATCTTTAACCTGAAGATACATGGTTAGTTTCATTCTGAAAGTTTTACAAAAGAAGGGAAGCACGTGTAATGTATCGTGACATTTCCAAATAATAATAAATAAAAGCGCTTTATAATGTCAATAACAAGGTTTTTGACTGGAAAATTTTCTGATCGTTGTTTTAAAATGTGCTCCATATCGTAATTTTTATTGTTTAGAAGATGTTTATTATCTGGAAACCATATGGCAATCACTGAAACAAGTTAAATTTAAGACTGGAACATGAAGTAAATAACATTCACCTTAAAATGAACTATAATGTCTATGCCGTTATTATAGTTACATATACCAGAGAGGCGATTTATTAGCTGAGCGGAAGATACCTTCTGTCCAACCTCATTGAACAAAACAATTATATTCATAAATCAAAAATTTACTTCTCTAATACTTTTTACTTCTTTTTCATTTTTTGAAAATATAAATTTTCGTCTGCTATTTGACAGTTTTGTTTCCATGCAAAATTGAGCTTTAAAAGATGCAATGGATAGAAGGCTATGTTTGTGCTCTTTACGCAGAAAGTATCGTATTATTTAATTTTAAAAAACAATGTGAAAGCCATGGGTTTCCGATATCTAAAGCTACGATAGGTAATATTGTCAACAAGAAAGGAAACAAAATGCCACAGTTGTGGTTTCAAATGGAAAATTTGCTCCAAAAAATATCCAAGGAAAAAACGGACTGTTTCAAATATTGCAACGGTTAAGATCTTTAATAGAGAAAGAACTGTAGGGTCGTACTCTGTTTTTCCACATAAATAAATTAGATCCTACAAATTAACCTGGCGAATTCTCGCACAGGCGTGAATAACTACCAGACAGAAGAAGGGTGAAAATAGCCCTTTATTAATTCAAAATAGTTAACAGAAAGGCACTGTCTTCGTTCGTTAGGCACCGTCAAACTTGGGGTGAAACTAAAAACGTAGAATATAATTCAAGTCAAAATCTAAAATAACTAATTCTGGATAGCCGTAAGTTACGCCTAACATGTGGACTCACAAAAACCTAACATGGGGCGGGATGACATTTCCGATATGGCCAAGAGGCTTACTAGCGTAACAGCGAAACAACAACGTAACGTGAGCTGTCTAGCATAAACATGCTCTGAAATAAACGCATAGATTCACCCGTTTAAACATGCATCCCACTTCATTTTAAATTTACATCCTGGTAAGAGAATGTGAGGGGAAGTTGAGAAGTTCAGATAAAGGTATCAACTGAAAATAAATTTGTTATGCAAAATAAGGAAACCCCTACAGAACCTCAGCCAAATCAAAGGACAAAAACAATCAAGTATAAACAGAGGAATTAATCGAAAATTAAAAAAGGAGAAAAAAAAATAATGGGCATATTTTCTTTATGAGAAACATTCTTATGATAAAAATGGCAAATTGATATCACAATAAATGTATCTTAGGTGCATTTAAATGACTGCAATAAAAAATGCATTTAATTTCATCAAAGAGGAGAAAAAATCTTAAAACGTTTAAACTTAAATGTTTCAAAGGAAATTTATGATTGTTGCTTGTTTCTCATATAACGGCAAATTTAAAATAAAAATTCTGATGTGTACACCACATGACTTCCTTGTACGGAATATTCAATTATAGACATCTTTTCTTGCATTTCATTTAAACTTATTGGATTGAATTAAATCTACTTCGTCGATAGCGCATAAACCACAATAGAATAAATGCACTCTTTAAAATTCACTATAATTGTTTACCATAGCGACACTCTAGCGCTAGATTCACTTAACAGCGTTATATTTCGTTCATATTATAACTCATAATGTACAAAATTTATATCATTTGAAGAATTACCTAATCGTTGCCACATGTTCTATTCAAGTACTATAATAAATCTAGAACGATGTATAAAAGAAATTAAGCAAACAAAAAAAAAAAGAAACAGTTTTTCACAGTCGATTCAGTATTTCTCATTCAGTTAATTCAGATCTCACTTCGCGACAAGGCAAAAAGACATAAGAACTCAAAATATCTATATTAAAAATTACGAAGTAAATCTTAAACACTTATTTCCTCGAAAAAAAATCCAGAAAGGTTTAAGCATGATTTAATTCACAA